AAATTTGTAATTCTCCTTACTGTCAACCATACAATTCTTATAATGTTAGTTCAGGGAATTTAATATTGGATCAACTAATTAACCCAAAATTGATATTTTTCTTTATTCCCTTCACTTATCTGATTGGTATTGTATTAATATTGTAAGGAAAAATTCTGTCTTGGTCACTCATGGGAGTTAAAGAGTTAAAGATAAATACCTCCTCTTTAGCCAGAACTTGACACATCATATCTCGAGCAGCTTTGCCGGTGCAATACAAAGAAAAATATGGAAAAGATTGTAGAGCCATGAGGGATGACACATTAACTACAGTACAGCAGGCATCCTTGAAGTGATGAAGAAACTTTCCACTGGAAAATTAAACATGTTAATTTAGTCAGTTAGTTACTTACTTACTATATAATTTTAAAAGGCTGTTCTACTCTCTGGAATCTCAAGCTCCAATGAAGAGTAAATTTTAATAAATATTTTTTAAAGAGCTGAGATAAAAATTACAATTTTTCCAACACACACTCCTCCTTTAACCATCCTTCTTCCCCTTTGGATTTCATGGTCACTCCAAGATTACATATCATTTTTAAAGTAATACTGTATTAGCTAAAATTGAGTTGAAATATTCTGACATAAAAGGTAGCTCCACCTTAGAAGGGGAATAATGTCAAGCAGGAACAAACTAGCAAAACAGATTTATTATTAGTATTATTATCATAATCATCATCATTATTATTACAGAGGTGTCATCTTACGTAAGAAATAAGGGAGAGTTTAGATTCAGGTTGAAGTAATCTGCCAGGGCATCAACCTTCTGGGAGACGTCCTTGAAACATTTTGACACATCTCCAAGTGACCCTGCATTATTCAGGAGAAAGGCATGTGTAACTTTGGACAATTCAACCTGGAAGAGATTCATGGTAAAATAGGAGTTAGTGTATCCCTGTTTTCGTAGCATTATATTTTTACATTTACATTTTCATCTATTTCTTGAGAAACATCAATGCATGTGGAGATACACCACACAAAGAAATGATCCTAGCAGGTGAGGTGCAATTAACCCTTTAACTCCCAGATCAAATTTGTAATTGTCCTTTCTATCAGTCATACAACTCTAATAATGTTAGTTCAGAGACTTTTGCATTGGATCGACTAATTATCCCCAAATTGATATTTTTCTTCATTCACATCTCTTATCTTGTATTCTCATTACCTGTTTGTTATAAAGTGTATTTGTTTAAAGGGAGAAGTTACATGTCAATCAGTACTGAGAGTTAAACTCTATGTCACACAAGCTGACTAAATCAGCATACATAAAAAGGTGTATAATGCCGTTTATACCTTACACAATGCAGCTTTTATGGAATCCTCTAAGGTGCTCATCTCTCCAAGATCGGCAACCATAACATGAACTATTAAAGAAAATGTAGTCCAAGTATAGATAAACAACAGGCAACCACAAAAAAATCCATCACATGGTTTTATCATTGTTTCTAACAACATGATAAAAGGAAAACAAAACATAGCTTATTTAGTAATTCCCAGAAGTGATTAACATGGAACTTCTCCCTATTATATCCCTACATAATCCTGCAAACAGGTATTGAGAAAACTCCAACTTATCAGGTAAAGGTTGTTGTTATGATCTAACAATAAATTCTCAGAACTGATTTACAAGGAACAGTGTAGCAGCTAGAGGGGAGAATCAACAATCACATCTTGGGAGTTAAAGGAGTTAATCACCAGTTAATTAATCACCCATTGTGATACGGGGGTGGACGGCAGGAGGGGTTCACAGCTCTTCAGAGTAGCCTTTCACATACTAGGATTGCGATATCATCTTCGATTCCTGCCAAAACATGTTTTAAAAGGGGAATTAGACTTGGATTTTTATCAAAGAAATTTATTGCAGGTCGAATTGTAATTGGCCATTCTTGTTTTCGCGAAGATGAGAAAACTGAAGAACGAGTAGGAAAATCCTCGAGCGAAGAACAAATTGGACTGGAAGAATTGTGAAATTAATGGACTCAGGTGTGATATCCAGGTCTGAGAATTGATATCAAACCAGGACCAAAGAGACCAAAGAGGTGGATGGCGAGTGCCCTACAAACAGCGCCTTCCCGGCTCCCTAAAAAGACTAAGTTAAAATGTCTTCGATGGATCTTGCCTAGATAGCTTTACCTTTCGCACTAACACAGACATCCACGATTCTTTTCTTTGTTTCTTCGAGCCCATCACCGGAACGCGAGACGAGGATAAAATTTCCTTCGGTTCCAGAATCAGAGAATTGCTGTGCTAATGCGATTGCCGCAGATCTTCCAAACCCACGGCTAGCTCCAGTAATAAAACAGCAAGGCCTAGAACCACTACAAAACATAATTTTACAAAGAACACTGATACAAATACTCACTCAGAGTGTGGCAGAGGGTTTTTGCGTGGCACGTGGTGGCACTAAACTTTGCAGGATAACACGTGATTGAACCCAAATTATCCGCGTGACGCTGGACAGGAGATCACAACGTGGTGCGTGATTTTCTATTTTACAATCGCGTGACGCGTGATCTACAGGGCTTCCTGATTAGATTTCCGTGATAAGTGAACGCTCTTTGACCTAGAAAATTACCAATCATTCAAAGTAATAGAGTCTTAGCGAAAATCAATAAACGTGGCAGCCGCAGCCTGCAGAGCGGGCGTCATCTCAGCGAGCGAGTGCTTAGTAACTTCATGGCTGCCATCTTTGATTTTAATGACTGCGAAAGGCTGGGGAGAGAAATAAATTGGCGCCAACGTCCACTCTAACTCCAAATCAAACATGGCCGGTTAGTTAAACGATGGCCAGCGTATAACGTTAGCTCGCACCAATAGGACGTCTGCACTGCAGGCGTGACACTGTTTTCTGATCTTTTCCAGGCCTGGATCTTTCCATCCTTTGTTGACCTTTTCTTGACCTTTGATATCTTTGATCTTCGTCATAGGTCGAAACAATCGCAACACAATAGACGTAAGTTAATACTGTTAACATTTGCTCAAGGACTATGACCTTCAGTGTTATTTTTGTGGTAGTGCGTCAAATCGTATACAGAAAGACCAGAAAGTGTCCGAATCCATCGAATGAAAGATTTCAAATAATGTCGACCCAAACGACCCAACGGCTGAAACGATAAAAGACGTTAGAGTTTTGGTGCCATTTTATGCCGCCTGAGGAGATGTTAATTTGAGCAATGACCCAGTACACAAGAAAAAATTTTGTGTACCAGTTAGTGGTACGCAAATTTTTCCAAGGTCGTCGGAAAGACCTAAACGAATTCAAAAGCCACGTTATATCCTTTACTGAAATAAAGACAGTTGCCGTACAGAAGGGTATTGGGCAAAGCTTTTCCATAACTATTGCCGGTGTATAAAAAATAGAAAAGGAGGCGTAGACTGATGTCTACTCAATTCGTACGCAAGACTCTTGCAGCTATGAGTGGCCCAAACTTTTTACGTGTCGTGTGATTGTTTTAAAAAAATTCTCCGTGATTTGTGATTTAATAGGAAAATTCAGCGTGATGTGTGATTGGAACCCCTCCTTTGCCACCCTCCACTAAAGTTTCTCACGGCTGAATTTCCGTCAACTCGGCAGCCTCGCTTCAAGCTTACCTCGTCCCAGTACTTCCCAGTACTCTCTTAAGCAAGTAAGATAGGGCTATTGATTGAAGACTATAGACTGGAAAGCAGTATCATACTATCGTTTATAAACTAAACTTCAGCAAAACAGTGTTACCTGGAGAAGCGAGTTCTGTGTGGTGGAGCTACAAAATGATACCGCACCCTGGTAGTGGTGGTTGTGGGTGAGGGGTGGAGGGAGAGGTGAGGTTTGGCTTATAACTGGCTTTCCAAGGCTTCAAGACGAGATTTCTTAGATGGAGAGTATCACAAAACTCCTTGAGAGCCGAAAATGCGGTCATTTTCTTTCCTTGGAGAGGTGGACCGACGAGGTTTTCAGATGCAGTTAAATTTTGCTTTCTATTCACTTAAAAAGTGGCCTCCAATCTATTTGATATCGTTCAGCTGCAAATAACTTAGCTGTGACAAAAATCTTGATGTGAAGTTTCCACATTACTCAAATGGATTTTGTGGCATGAGCGCTCGGGTTTTTCTTTCATTCTCGAGCGGATTCACTTAAACGGAACGATTAATAGCCGTTTGTTTCGATTTTCATCACTGATTGTTTTCGCGATCTCGTTAGGTAGTCTGATTTATCAAAGACCTCCCTTGAAGTTACAAGCAATAACTGTGAGATAATTACTGTTTACGAACACAATTATTCCAGAACAACACGAGGTCACGTTTGAAATTGATTTATTTGGCAAATTAAAAAGCAATTCGCAAGATATTTAATACTGTTACTAATCTAATTCTTTTTTTTTATCACTAAACAACCAAAATGATTCTATGGTGTAATTAAGGTAAAACGAAGCTTTCGCTACATGTAAAGACTCTACGAAGAGACTGAATGTTTTCAAATTCTCATGAAAGCTGAAGAATTCCTCTTCGAGCTCACTAGAACAGCGTAACCAGGAAACTTAAAACGAACGCTTCATTTTAGTAAAACTTCGTATCCGTGATGAAATCTGACGGTTCACGAGTTCAATTTTGTTATGTTCTACTTCAGTAAGACCCATAGTTCTCGGGTTCAGTGATTTTTCGTCGTAACCATCGCACGGATTGTGTAATTGTTTTTTTTAATACCCCGCCGGGGCAGCCCGTGAAAGTCGGACCTTGGGGGGGAGGGGTAGAGAAGGGAATGAGTAAATCGCGGGATTTTGATTTAATTGATCAACTTATTACTTTTAGCACGCCATGGGGCTGGAATTTTGCATTATGTGCAACATTGCACAAGAAGAAATAACGTTCTATAATTGTCTCTTGATATTGCGTGCAGAAAAGCAGAGCTAACATTGGTTGATGTCTCCCAGCGATTTATTTCTGGAGGATGAAATTTTATCCCGAATGCATTCAACGGATGATTACTTTCACTTAAAGTAAAAATGTTTTAAATTGAGCTCATTTCTTCACAATGCGTTACACGACAAATCAAGCATGAACATGCAATTGACACAACTTTCTTTGCTTGGATGACTGAAAAAATCTCTAGAGTGATTCAAAATTGTTCGTGAACAAACTCTGCCTGAAGACGAGGCAAGGAGCCTTCCTCTCTGAGTTTGTAAGGGGGCAAATAAACAGCAATGTCTAGAAACTGTTGATATGACAATCAACGCACACTCATCAGTAATAAGAGCCACGACTTCGAAAAGAGCACCTTATCAGTTAATCAGTTCTTTTTACTTAAAACCACGGATTTGGTCAGATTTCCAGATTATTAAGTCTTGTGGTTTTTATCAACAATCAATATGATACTTATCACTGTTATTTCTAAATGTTCAGCTTCTCATAATTTTTGCCGAAATTGTGAAACTTTCAAAAGGTTATAAATGAATAGAGCGACTTCCTGATAGGTGCAGTTAAGAACTGTGAACAAGATTTAAACAATCGAGTGCTTTTTCCAGTTCTTTCTATACGACATTACTCGGTCAATGGGAATTTTTGCATATTTCAATTAAAGGTAGTTTACCTAGCTACGTGCAATTTACGCTAACTGCGCACATTAAAACATAATATTTACTTTCCATCATTAAGCCACAGTGTGTGGTATGACCACGAGATAAAAGGGAATTAGGTCAGTCACGCTATACAGCGCGAAAAAAAAAACACGCACGCATCATCGCTGAATGTTTGCTAACGGTTTCACAAATGATAACGATAAACGCGTGAAACGTTATGTCTTTAGCGTAACAAACAAACACCATATAGATCGACGCAAATTGGTACACGCCTCGCTATTTTTGAGTAAAGCCTAAATTAATTATCATGAATTGAAAAGAAAATTGTAGAAAAAGAAAATCAAATGGCGAGACGCAAAGAGAAGCTGAAAATTGAGCTATATCATGCAAGTTACAGGGCAGAATGACCAATGGTATTTTTTCATCATCTGTGTCAGTGCCATATTTCGGTATCAGTAATTTTCATTGCCTTTTTTTTGTTTTGTTTTTTTTTGGCGTGTATAACCCTCCCGGACAACTCTATGGTCATGACATTTGACGATGTAATCATATTGCAATAGGGAAAAATATAATCGGGCCATTAATTCAAAATGCCTGAGGGTGTTTCTGCTCGACAGAGCATACCTTCACAAGCACGTCACGCTCCAGTGAGTACGTGATTTATTCATGTCCTGGACTTGTGCCTCTATTCTTAAACAAACTTAATTGTTTTCCGTCTCCATTGTTGTGGTGTTGTTGAAGTAATTTAACCTGAAATATCTTAGTGGTGTGTGAAAAGATTAGCGTTTGTGTTTAATTCTTTGTGGGCAAAGAATCTCGTCAAAGTGGGTTTAAAACCTTATGTGCGGACAAACGATCACAAATGACTGAGCAAAAGACTATGGAGGGACGGCTTGCGATTGGCGAACGGGAAGTTGGCGAGGGACTTGAATCTTCCGAAAAAAACTTCGAGGAGTTTGATTTCAAATGCGGGCACACTCCCGCAGCAGATACACTTTTACGGGAAACCATTAGTCAACTAGAAACCGCGTTACGCGAGTCTACAAAGCTGTTAGCCCAACGGGACAACGAAATTAACAGTTTACGAAACGATCTTGATTCGTGCCGTCGAAATAGCGATGGAAACGTCAGCGCCGCCCTTGAAGAGGAAGTAAAGAATTCTCAGAAACGAGTTCTCGATCTGGAAAAGGTTATACAACAGCTTCAACAAGACATCGCCATTTACAAAGCAGAGCGAGAGAACATGCTAACGAATGCTGATCAAGTTGAAGATGAAACTGTCTCGGGACAGACTTGTTATTGCGGGTCGCTGTGTGGTGCCATGAAAGAAATGGTTGAATTGAAAAAGAAACTGCAAGTAACAGAACAAAAGTACAGCAATCTCAAACGAGCTTTCAAGAGTTTGGAGCGAAGTAAGGTGAGGGTTGGTGTCGCACATCGGGATAGCCCTTGTAATATTAGCTAAACTGAAACCGAAGAAGGGACGAAAACTGGGATACGAAGAATGACATGATTCATATAGCCAGTAAATGATATAATGATATATAAAATGAATTCGGGTCTAGCGCAAAGGCAATTTCTGGAGGGCAAAAAAATTGGGATTGTGATCAATGACGCTGCTATAAAAATTAAACGTTTAAGATGCGTCCCGGTTAGGCTAAATTTTATGCCGCGTGTTTCTTTTCTAAAATGTTACCTGCCTGATTGTTTTTTTTCGGCGGGAAAAGGTGGCACAAATAAGTACTTTTGGCGGGGGGTCGAGTAACACCACCCGCGGCGAAAAAGGAGAATTATTGAAGTACAAGTTTTTATCAAATTCTATTAGTTGATATAGACTTCCTAGTCCTATAGACTTGTTGGTAAAATTGGGTAACCTGTGAATTTGACACCGAGAGAGAAAATTTAATCGAATGAGTATTTAATCACTTCTCACGGATAGGAAAAACACACGAAAAGTTTATATTATCAGCTGGTGTTATATTCAAAAACAAACTAAATAAGTTTATTTATATTTAGACCTTTTATGTAACGAGGCCGACAATCAAGTCAGATAGTCTAATAGAAAAAAAACAAACACAAGTTATTTCTGGCAAACACGGAAGACTAAAATAATAACAATCATGGTGAGTTCGAGTTGAATGAGAATTTGATAAAAACTGACATTTTAACCCTAAGCTAGTGACTACGTAAAAGTATATTACCGAAAAGTAGTTATAAAAAGTTGAGATGTCCACCTTCGAGGGGACTTAACTACAACTTTATGCAGTTCCAGTCAGGAATAGCTTTCTAAGCATAGATATCTCCCTAGGGAATTCACGAGTAATCTTATTGGAAGATGTGACTTGCATTGAGGATCAAGTCCCCAAATACCAGATTATACCCGTGTTAGGTTGTTACATTAAATAGCTCTCTGCATACAGAGAGTGTGGATCGAAAGCTTCGGCCATTCATAAACTCAAGGTTACCGACCATTCATTTCTCTTCCTAAACTGTTATGTTTTGGGGGCGTATGAGGTAAGACTTAACTACACAGAGCACTGCAACGAAAACAAGGTGTGTCGGAAGTCTTCTCAACTTTTACCTACGGACGAACATCATATGATTGGATCCTGTAAAAAAAAATCCATTGTGCTCTTATTACAAAAATCTTCCGTCCTCACTGAAAAAGGGTAGTTAGGTCTAGCATCATTGGAGGGTTGGGGTTAGGGGCAGGGGAAAGGTTCAACCTGATAAGAAATAGTGACTGATGGGGCCGTCCGGCCTTCATTTTTGTAAGAGAGTCTCCTCTCTCCTTCCAACACGACAGCAGTCATAGTAAATGGAAGGCTGATTAATGTATATAGAATTATCTAAGATGCATATATTCACCAAGGTCTCAAAAGTTATATTTCTACTTAGTCCATTATACTACCGAAGTGTAGAATCAAGTAACATATTCCGTCGCCAACTTAAATGGGACTGGAATAAATTCTACTTAGCTTGCAATGAAAGCAGTGCAATTGCATGGTTAGGCATGCGTTTGAACGATACCTACTAAACAAAGACGCGCAAGAAAATTAACGAGATAGATTTGCGAGGAAGTCGCGCGAGGCTGAGAAACCAACGATGTTATTTTTTTTTCACTCTTGGGTACTCGTTCGCTTTTTATCATATTTTTAAGTATAAATATTTGTTTCCTCCAAGCGACTGCTACGTGGGGTAGGATAGATACATTTATATTCACCAAAAGAAAAACGTCGATTGAAAGAACATTGAACATCGCGACAAAGGCCTTTCTTAAAGTGGCAAAGCTTTTTACATTGGAATAGGTAATTATATGCTATGTAGAGAGGTACAATGCAGTTAGTATAGTAAGATCTCCTGACGACTTAATGAATGCAAGATCTTAAGAGTTAATATCTAAGTTTGACAAAGGCCTTACATGTAGGTTATTGAAAATTGGCCTTCATGTTGTGTATCAAATCATAGACATCACAGATCACATAGTTCATTAGACTGCACACTTAAAATAGCAAGAGAGCTCAAGAGCTTTGAGTTTAGCTACTTGCTTCCAGAGCGCACTTCAATTGAGTGTCGTAAAACCAAGACCCGAGTAATAACAACGGCTATTTAGAACAAAGATTGAATTTATGAAGAGAAAATGGCACACTAGGGAAAAAAGTCATGCTCGAACTGCCTGAGGCGCCGAAAAGACGCGAGTGGCGAAGTCTTCACTACTTCATGCATACTTTCCATCTCATTGGTTGGGAGAACGGCGCAAGTTTTCTAGACTAATTAGAGCGTAGTTAACCCTTTAACCCCCAAGATCTGATTTTTAATCCTCCCCTCTAACTGCTGCACATTTCCTTGTAAATTAGTTATGAGAACTTGGAGCTAGATCAAGGTAGCAGCTTCTACCTGATGAGTTTGAATATTCTCATTACCTATTTGCTGGATAATGTATGGATATTATTGGGAGAAGTTTCATGTTAATCACGACTGGGAGTTAAAGGGTTATGTATAAACCAGTGCAATCCTGAATTACGATCCACACTCAATTGAAACTGCTCTTCATGTGTAGGAAAGAACAGATTAAAATGTATGACGATGGCCTATCATAAAGACCTCGGGCCTGTAAAACCTCTAATAAAAGTAAAAAGAACTAAATGATAGGTTTTTTGTCTTTGACTTTTAAATGTTCTAAATATTTCAACATCTTTAACTTTTTCACCTCTCTTTTAAAATCTACTGACGAATTAACCTTCTTGTTAATACAGAACAAATGTTAACTCATCCGCTCTTTCACTTGACAATGTCCTGTTGCAACGGAAAATCGCAAAACAATAGTTCCCACCATGCATTTCGGTCGTCTCGAGCCAGGCGCAAAAGAACAAAATCTTCCCACAAATCAAAATAAGTTTGCCAATTCACAAAATGAAACGAAAAGAAGTTGAACGGAAATGACTAAAAAACAGACAACGAAGATTCAAGATCACTCAATGGCTAATCACGCACAGACACTAAAATTATCAAAAAGAAAACAAATAAGGAATTAAAATGTAGAAATGTAAACGACCTCGAGGGGGACGGGAAAACTAGACTAATCAAGTGGGGATTGGATCTAGCCTTGCATCTGATTATCTGATTGGTTAGATGAATGGTATGAATTTTCTCAGTTAAAAAACAAAAAAGTAAATCCCGGATCTCTCTCTTCTGGTAGATACCCACTGTACTGTTGTTGCTGCAAAACGCACGAGAAGTCATTGCGTTCAGCGGACATCTGCAATAAAGCCTCTACGGATGAGAGAGGTCTCAAATTACTTCCGACACGCATTGGATATTCCTCTGCGCGCGCGCTCAAGTAGCACTCAACCACCCGTTGTATGAAGTGTTCTATGGGCAGGTGTCCTTTATAACAAATCCCACTTTAGAACAGGTACTTCCGGTTCAAGGAGCCGCGTGTGGTTTTACAGGTCTCTTAAACTGCTCTTTGTTCCACCTCAAAACACATCAACCACTCGACTGGCACGTGCTAAGGTTAACCATATTATCATTTTTCCTCACAATAGCTTTTGCACAAGTCTTTCATGGAGAATTCTACAGTTCAAGCCGAGAAAAAGAAAGGTAACAATGCCGTCAATAGTTTGAATGATTTTGAGATCAATTTCTTGGATGATGATTCTGATGGAGAAAAAGAAGAAGTGGATGATAGAGTATTAACTTCAGAGAAAGATCTCTCAGACACCGCATCTGTAACGTCGAATTCATTATTAAGAGCTACCATCTGTGAGCTGGAGCGAGCGTTGACGGACACGAGAAGGCTTCTATTAGTACGAGACAAAGAGAGCGCTACTTTACGTCAAGAATTAGAAAAAGCACGCAAAGATCTTCACAGAGAGCAACAGGTGAGAAAAAAGCTTGAACGAGAGAGCGAATCGAAGGAGGAGAAACGCCGTAAGGACGAAAACGAGAAATCAAAATTAACAGAGGAAATCAAAGAACTAAAAGAGAAGCTGCGAGAATTTGAAAATCCGCAGCAAAGCAGCGATCCAGAGGAGATTGTACCTTGCTGTTCTTCTATGCACGAGTTAGTTGAGCTGCAGCGTAAATTGAAAGAAACTGAACAGCATTTAGCAGATTTTAAGGTAAACAACCAATTACTGGGCAGCGAGCAAAAAATTTTGGCCACGATGCCACAGTTACCGAACGGAAGTGCATCACCTAAGAATCACAAACAGACTCAGAGAGAAATGCAGACGCAGCTTAAATTGAAATTTCTACGAGATGCTTTCTTCTACTATATGATCGACTTCCACGCAGATGAGCAGATGAGGGCCATTTTAGCAATTCTGGATTACGAAGACAGACGACATGATATCATCATTGAATCGCATAAAATGAAGAGACAGGGCAAAAAATTCACTGTGACTGAGGTTTCTAGTAGGTCATTGACATTTGTGCAAGAGGAGAAACTTTAAGGAGGCTATTTCACCGTTTTGAGCGTCAAGATGAAAAGCGTTTCAGTAGAATTAACGATTGAAATAGTCGATTGCGGAGTTAGATAAAAAGCGTTGGATAAGAATAAATCAAATATGAGCCAAGGTGGTTAATATTAACGCGAATTGCAAATTCCAATCGTGCTGTGAAAAGACTAATTTCAGCTTAAAGGAGACCATAAATATTAGTTTGGTAAGACAGGAAAATAAAAAAGGGACAAAAATAATCCAAGAAGTAATAAGGATGGACAAGACTGACGCAGATGTAAAGTTTGTCTTGCAAGATAGAAAACCACAAGAGGGGCAATATTTATGAGAAACCCAGATGGAGGGGATGGGGAAGAGTGGTGAATTTACCACATTAACAATTGCAGACAGAAAACAAAAATTAATCTAATTTCCCTCAAGTTGCACTGAATGTGACATCAATCTTCAAATAGTTAGCTTCAACTGACGTTAAAACTATAACTTCTAGAGGTGTTGAACTTTTAAATTCTCCCTAAAACCTTATGGTGACGAGAAAAAGAGAAACTTATCAACTAGAGGGTAATAACTTGATCTACCTCCAAATTCTTAACTCACTTTCAAAGGAAAAGTATGGAAGCAACAAGGGAGAATTACTGATCAGATCTTGGGAGTTATAGAGTTAAAACAAATACACTTGTTTCTGAAGACAATTTCACTGGATTTGAATCCCTTGATATGTTTATCGACCTATACTTGGAGGTGACTTAAATAGACTTGAAAGAAGTCACACACTTCCAGAGTTTAAAACGTCATGAAAACCACAACTGGATACAATTCATGTTTTTATCATGGCAGAGTTATACCCAGAAAGGTAACATGTTTCATAAAGAAGTACATGTCTACATATCATACTCCAAAGAACAATTCTTTAATGCAAAGTTAATGGCTTGATTGTTGTTTTAGTCCAATATGGTGGATTTTTTCCAGTTACTTTACACTATTCTTTAACTGTTACATTTCTCATTGCAAACCCTGCCTAAAGGTTTCCATTTATTTTCAAATTCAAATGCTCCTTGCAGGTAATGATATGTTCAAGTTTCCCTTAGAAGTCTGAAAGTGCATAGGTAACCCCTTTCACTCTTTGAATGACCTAAAATACATTTCTCCTTATAATATTGGTGGACTGGCAAGCAGTCAGGTGGTGAGAAGATTGAAAAATATCAACTAAAGGGATAGTGCTTGAATAAACACCATATTCGCAAAAGTAAGATTTTCATAAATGTATGGCAGACATTGATGAGAATTAAAAATCAGTATCTTGGGGAAGGAAAGGGTTTGGTTGGACATTGGCTGCTATTTCTTTGTACAAATAAGGCACAACTGATATTTTAGCTTGGTTTTAAAGCCATCATGGTGTTGATATCCCATATCAAAGTTCTCAGCTTATCTATAAGTTCTTTTATTTCCTGGTTCTTGCTTCTCAGTTTCTGTTGAAGAAGAATCAATACCAAAATCTGTGAGTGCAATTATTACACTGTATGTCAACATTCCAAATAATACCAATAACCAGTAAAGCTATGTTAAGGACGATGACACTTTTCCCACAACTGTGTTTCTTTGGATAAATATTGTGATTGGCCAATAAATGTTATGCAATGAGCCTGGTTTCTCTCTCCCAACTTATTGTTTCTAGTTGGAAAAAAACTATCAGTGCCACTCAAAAAAACTGGGAGAGAGAAGTTTTCATTAATTTTGTAGGTGGATGCTGCTGTTTTACATAAATCTGTATACCCAGTAAACTTATGTCTCTGTGCTTAGCAGGTCTGCCTACTTGAAACCATAAAACACAAAAACCCACCCCTGTCAAAACACAGGCTGCATGTTTAAGGTGTATCAGCTATTATATAATAAGCTCAGTTATGCACACATTCTGATTGGTTCTCACTTGAGATCTATTGGACTCATTTTTCCATTTTTCATGCTTTCATATTGCAGGGGTCATGCGTTCAACTCCCGTACAGGCCTCAGTTTTTTTCTGGCTTTATTTTCACCTCCACTTAAATAGTGTTCATTACTGCAAAGATCACTTTCATCTTCAATCAAGAGCTTCTTTAGGTGGTCATCATTTCCTTTAGTCACGTGACCTTAATGTTTGATTTAGGAGCAATATTGAAAATAGAAATAGAATGCTGATGATAAGTCACTCCTAGGGTTCAAAAGATGAAATTACCTCTTGAAGGGTATCATGCTCAATTCCAAGTGCCGTTGAATCATTGGATGTTTCCATGTCAGAATCTTCCTCCGAAGTTCTCAAGGGAATCAGAGCCTAGAGGAAAAATCATTATGCCATGCACTTTTAAATGAGAGAGTTGAGAATTTTTTACTGCCCTTGTGCATATTCACATCATATTAAGTAAAAGTAAAGTAATTAATATAAAGTAAAGTAAATTGATATTATATCATACTAAGTTTACCATCAATCGCACACCCAGTGGTGTAAATAATAACAAGTAATTTAGTGTTAACAACTGGGTTGAAAACGTAAATTAGCCACCGTAAAGGGTAAAAAAGCTGACGTTTCGAGCGTTAGCCCTTCGTCAGAGCGATTGACGAAGGGCTAACGCTCGAAACGTCAGCTTTTTTACCCTTTACGGTGGCTAATTTACGTTTTCAACCCAGTTGTTAACACTAAATTATCTGCTATACTCTCCCACCGACGCAGCACCACAGTTTCTTTAGAAACTTACCCCTTTAAATAATAACAAGCCAACTGACAAAGAATGGAACATCATTTTATCAAGGAGATAGGGGAAGTAGCAGGACAACCAGTTACCTCATATCATTGAATACAAAGACAGAATTGAGAAAGCTCTATCTCTTCTTTTAAACTTGATCAGTAACAACACTGGGAGTATGAAATCCTGCATTACAAGCAGCCATCGGACTTATTAATAATTGCAGTCTTTTTTTCAAACAAAAAGCCAACATTAGTAAATAGCGAAAGAGAACTACCAGAACAAAGCAACAACATCAACAACACAAAAACAACTCGCCTCCAAATCTTCCCCATTAGGGATTTCTATCCTTCTGTTACTCTCATCGTAGAAAACCCTCAGGCGAGAGAACAGCTCCTTCAAACTATTCAACGTATCTTGTACTTTTTTGTTGTTATTCCGCGCTTCTTGTTTAGACTTGTCGTCCACAACCATGTTCTTTTCTTGCAAACATCGAAACAAATAGGTCGCTTTGCTAACAATTTCTTCAACCGTTTGTAATCCTTGTGCAGTTATGGAAATCTCGTTTAACTGTTGAACATTTGTTGGTCTGACATTTTTTTTATCTTCCCTCATCGCTGCTGAAAGGCCTACAGGAAGAGCCGATTGCAACCCAACTGGCAATACTCGTTTGGACGCCATGTTGGTTTGCGAAGAATATGGTCAGCGTCTCTTCTGCTTGGTTGGTATTTACTTTATATAAGGGTAAGACTGTTATTCTACCGAGATAGACTGGGGAGAGACTCGCTTCTGCATTGCCCGTTCGAGAGTTCTCGTGCCAGTCACGGGAACTCTCGCCCCGTTTCTGACAAATCACATCGAAAACTAAAACCGCTCGCAGACTGGTCAATAAGGTTTTCCTGAGCTCAAAGCACCTCTTTTTCCTTTTTTTCCCGTCCGCTCAATCGAAGGGTCTGCACTATTTTCTTGTTAGATAAGAGATTACTTTTTTCTAGAGGTAAGAAAAACCCCTTTCACCATATCGGATATGGGTGTATTTTTCTCGAAGTGAAAATTATATTAGCGAAAGGTTCGTCCTTTGCATACAAAGGAGATCACTTTGTTTCTTCGCTTTTCTTGTACGATCCCTGTTAGCGTGTAAGGACAACAAACGCAGGCTATTGAGCTATGAAATTTCTTCCTGCCTGAAGGTCTCGCCTTACACTGAGGGGAAAACGCACAATGCTAGCAGTCTAGACAGAAAAAAAAGCGGACCAAACCACAAGTAAACTTTCA